GATTCAAAACTGTGGAGTAAGAAATTGGAAACCACTATCTTTTTCAATAAGTCATGGTAATTTACAGATAACAAAAGAAATGGAAGCTGTGGAGAGTCGTCATCATCCACATCATGAAGAAATCAAAACCTAGATTACTTGCAGTAGATGAAGTGGGTTGCACAGTGGCTATATGCATAAGAAACAGAATTGGAAAACAGGGTTAAAGTTTCCCCTGTAGACACTTCATTTTGCATTAATGCATTTTGAAAGGCATGAACCCACCTCTCTCTACATGCTGCTCCATTGTTAGACAAAATGACTTGTTAATGGCATGGTTATAATGGTTGACAGAAAAGAGTGGATGGTAAGAGAGCAAACGTTTTAACAAATACCCTCTCCCAGAACGAGGATATTGGTCAAGTCTGTAACAGTGAGGAAAAAAGTTACCTTTGTCAGGATTGATTATCAATAAATTAAATTGCCTATCTTGCATTTTCAAATATGTTAATATATATATAAAATTTGTTGAGAGCCTTTATCAGGGAGTTAAATGTTTCACCAGTGAGAAAATGATTCCAACCTGAAAAGTCATGTGAGCTGCAAAGGGACTATTTTCCTGAGCAGAGGAAAAACAAAAGAAAAAAGGAAAAAAAAAAGTGATATTAATTTCAAAAGGCCAAGAATGCAACCCCCTCCCGGCAAAAATTGTTGTTTAGTCGTTGTATGAACAAAATGACACAGCTACAGACAACATTCCAACATCACAAGTTGGATGACCACATGAAAGAAGCCTGTCAAATTATAATACAAAAAACAGGATGGCAGAAAAAAATAAATAAATACAATAACCTCAGTAATATACTGACATTAAATGTGGTATCGGATAAAAAAAAATAAAACACTTGCCAACAAGTGTTAGAATGTAGTGGTTAGCATTAGATATAAAAGGCAACAAAATAGAAAAATACTTTTGTAATAAAAAAAAAAGAAAGAAACGAAACATTAATAAAATATGAACAGAAGTCGGTTGCTATTATTTGAGTTTTTTTAAAGCAAAAGTTTTAGTTTCCCCAGACAAGACATTGATTAAAATAGCTGCAAATGAGTTTCTTGCAAATAGTGAAATCTGAAGATGATAGTGAACCATGCATACTAAAGCAAGGTTTAAAGTTTTTCAACCTATTTTAAAAACTTTAAACCAGATAGTGTAATGGTTAGCAGGGCAGTAAGTAGAATCTGCAAGCCAAGTTCAAATCCCCACTTACTCTGTTGTGTTCACTTTCATACAAATAACCTATGAATCCATCTCTTCTCTCCTCAGCTAGAAGTAAATAGCAGGGTAGATTGACCTCTATAACCATGGGTAGTAACCACTCTAGTAGAAGAGATAGTCTGAATTCAAAACTACAGTTATGCTGCCACTTAATTTAAAGACAATTTGATGTATGTAGGTCCTTACTTTTTGTGCAAACAATTATATTTATTTCATGGGTGACTTTCACTGGATTTTGTAATTAATTTTGATTATTCCCAAATTTATTTCCAAGTTATAAAAATTGTTATTGTACAAAAATTTTGTCACAAAAAAAAAAAAAAAAAAAAAAAAAAAAAAAAAAAAAAGAAAGAAAGAAAAGAAAAAGGAAAAAAAAGAAAATCCCCCAAAACAATCGCAGTAATGAAAACTTGGAAATCAAAAATTTCAGGAAGGTGGGTAAAAGCAGAAACAATTCAAATTAAATACAATGAATGTGTAACATCTTAAGTGTTAAGGCACATAATATCTGATTAATGAAATGTTATACTTTCTACTGAACAGGTGCCCACTTTCAGGCTAACAGAGTTAGAATTATGCCTATATGCCTTGCAGAATTCAGAAACTTTCTAAGAAAACCCTCCCCACATGACCCTTCACCCCCTTTCTCTTACAAAAAAGTTAGTGACAATAGACTGCCATTATGCGATGTAACATGGAATCAATAAGGTGCTGGAATTGTTACATGGGTATATCTCTCCAAGGCTACCCATAACAGTTGTGCTTATTGGGTGTGGCAGCAGGGAATTTACAGAGATCTGCAACAGCCACCCTGCCCCTCATACATGCTAGAGGAAATTTCAACCACTTTCCTGCCACTCATGCATGACTTGGAAAGTAGGAAGTTCCATCACCACCAGAAAACATGACAGGCAGGGTGAGAGATTTGGTCAAATGGCCTGCAACAAGATTTGTGGCTTGACTGGTTTCACTAGTGATCCTTCCAAACTAACAGAACACACTTTACACCATTACAGAGTCGCCAGCACCAGCTTGCACAGCACTCTGCTTACGGGCTGGATCCATGGTCTCGTTCACATGAATTCATCTGTCTGCCTGAAAGAATGTGACATCTGAACAAATAACATGGCATCAATCTTTTAATGTTCAATGGTGGTATTTTTTTTGGCCAATATGAGGCACACTAATCAACTACTCTTGTTGGTTGATGTCTACATTACTACAGAGTGTAATACAGTGTGTTGAATTGGAAGGTGTTTTGATACAATATTTCTCTTTGTTGGGTGATTACTATTCTTGATCTGTTCTGCATCAACTGTTACTCTTGCCCAAGAAAAAAAACAAAAACAAAAAACAAACCTGAAGCAACTGCCACCTTAAAGTAGGAGTGGCTCTTGGTCCCTAACAAGCATTCTGAAGTTAAAGGGGGTTAAATCCTGTTCATGTCCCATGGTTTTCACAGATACAGTGTCTCAAATAACTCAATAAGCTGACTCCATGTCCACAAATGGGGGAAGGCAAAACAACCCAGTGTACTACTCTTTTTTTAGTTTTTTGGCACTTCAGCATAAAACTAAGTGACAATAAATAATAATAAGGAAAGATTTTTAATTTTATAACTATCTCTAAGTTTATTAACATCTATATCCATGGGTAATGCCTTCTATTTTATCATGACAGTATAGTTTAAACTTATGCCATTAACCCATAATTTTTGCCTTATTACAGAAAGCAGCTGAAATGTAGTATGTCAAAATGGAGTCTGGCATTAAAGTGCATATGAAGCAGAAGTGGTTCATTAAATTCCTGTATGTGGGGTAAGAAAAAAAAAAAAAAAAAAAAAAAAGAAAAGAAACACACATTGAAATTCACTGAATGTTTAGACTATATTTAAGCAGTTAGTAACATATCTCAAAAGCAGTGGCAGTTATGTATGCAAATAATGGGCTGCCTCTGCAGAGAGATTTTTATGAGTCTGGCATGTAAACACAAAAAAAAAAAAAAAAAGTGTTGCTGAAAACTTACTCTAATCAGCTGTGGATTCAATGGTAATAAATAGGATGTAGTGTGTTGGCTTGTCCCTATTACCTCACTCTATACATAGCAGTCCATCCTAATTTATTTCTATAGCTGCCACAGCTACACTACCTACTTACCTATACATGTTAACTATATAATATTAACTATATTACCTATTAACACATATCTGGTTGTCACTTCCTACAGGTGAGAGTAGGGTGAACCCATTCTGTTTTGGACACATATACACCATTTACAAATGATAAAGAACTGTTTCTGACGGGCTTGTTTAACAAAACTACCCAACATGTCAGATTAATTTTTCATTATCATACATTTTCTTCAGATCTATGAAGCAATATTTTTTTTTTTTTTTTACAAACTTCAGACAAAACTAACATCCCATACCATGAAAACTCCTATTTTATAGATAAGGTCTTCGGTCTACAAAAAGGGTGTCATGATCCAACAAAGGATCTCATCTAAACTTTCTGCAGTTTTTTCCAATTTATTCCTGGCCAAAGAATGTACTGCTTAAAATAACAGTAATATAAACTGACACAACAGACAAGAAAAAGAAAATGAGTTACTAAATTTATGTAATAATTTTAGATTTGAGCTTGAATTATGGGTCATTGAGTTTCAAGTGCATCAATCTACATTTTTCCTTCCTAATAGCTGTGTGTGCGCAGCATAACAGTTACTGATGTGAGAAGTGTAATTAGCAAGTTAAGGCTGCTGCATTCACTTTCACACTAATGAACTTGGGAAAGACATTAATGCATCCCCCCACCAAAAAAAAAAAAAAAACAAAGTAGACTTGGTTCTCTAGCAATTGAAAGCAGCCAATTTAAGAAAAGGACTACTTTGAATTCAAAAGGCAAGACAGTTCACAGATTTAAAAAAAAAAAAAAAAAAAAAAAGAAAATCAGTGGAGAACCATGATCATTTTTGTCCTAAAGGAACATGATATTGGGAAGAAAAATAAAATAAAATTGCTAATAGTCACCAATTTTCAAAAGAAAAGTTGCGAACATAGGCAGTTCATCTTTAAGATTAGAAAAATTTCTGAAATCACAGGGAGTGAGTTTAAGTGAACGTGTGTGTGTATATATACACACACACACACACACACTAAGCAATTTTGTTTTAAGAATAAATATTATAGAAATATTGATATTTGATTGTATGTTTTTGTCTTCAGCTTTGTCAAAGTATTATTCTGAAGCTGATAGTGTTCTCTCAAATATTCTAAATGATTAAGAATGACAAGATTTAAAGAAAAAAAAATTAATTCATTCACTACAGAGGATAGACCAACCACACTTTAATTAATGACTTTCTTTAAGATTTACATTAATTGTAGGAAAAAAAAAAGTTGGCAAGATAAATGCTCATTCTAACTTTTAAAAAGCATTCTATTGATTAAATTTAATTAATCTTGTGGGGGTGACAGAGTAATCTCATGAGGCTGTAAAGTCTAGAAACATTTTGTAGGCTTTACAAATCGAAATGCTTCATGCAAGGAAAGCTTTCTTAAATTTCATGAAATAATTTAACAATTTACATAAGATGCCATTTGGTAGAAGAAATAGTTTATGTTTATAGGGCAAGACAGACATCAAGAGAATAACAAATAAGAAAAATATTTGACTACATTAAAAACAGATTAAAAAATCTACAAATTAATTAAAACAGACTAGTTGACTATTAGAGGTTTACTTACCAACTGCAGTTCTGGATTCAACATGATTAGCCACATCATGCCTGGAAAAAGTAAAGAAAAAAAATGGATTACTGAAAGGTTTTATAAAAAAGAGCAAATAATTTAAAAGTTGCTATTCTCTTCAGAAAAGAAAATGAAATGCGAGGGTTTCTCTTAAAAACAAAACAAAAAAGGAGCTTTGTTACAATTTCCTTCAAAGTTCCCAAAAAATGCTTTGATTATGAATGGCCACACCATTAAAATGTTCCAGTTTGAGGAATAAAGCAACTGGCAGTCAAATCTGGCCACTAGCAGAGTAATTTTTAATTCTATAAATATTAATTGGAAAAATCTATTTAAAAGGAGATAACGCCATGGTTATTAACTGCTAATTCCGAAGTTATCCCCCTTGACTTTGGTCAGTGATATACGACAGATGACACTTTAATAATCAATAATTAAATTTAGTGATAATTAGCATTTGCAAATAATTATAATACAAACCAAGAAATGACAAAAAAAAAAAAAAAACAAAAAAAAAAAAAAACTTTTTTTGTCATTTGGTCAGATTTTGGGAAGTAGGGCGGGCTAAGAATTTGACAGCACATAATCACATTAAGTTTTATTAGGTGACTTGACACCAATTCAAGGCCACTGAAGATGACATTTTAGCAAATTACAAAACATTCTTTATTTTTATGACATTCAACTCAAACTTTTATGCAAGTAAATGCTTAGATTTTACTTATTCTAAATAATCACAAATTTCAAGTTAAAACCTTCATTTCTAATCTGGAAAAAGTTAAAATGCTCTAATACTTAATTTTCTGTAATCACTGGATAAAACAAAATTTTATAATTTATTTTCAGAGCTCACTGATCTCTGCTTTGATTAAATCTATTGAAAGAAGAAATCTGTACCAGTTTCTATACAGCCAGCTTAAAAAGACTTTAAAATGGTCATTTTTAGTCCTGAGTATGATGATGAACTACATCTAGCAGCAAGGCCTCTCATTGGGAGAGTGGAGGTTTTGAGGAGTGTGGAACCACCTCTTAATTGCTGTTGTCCCTACGTTCATCCTGATCTGGGTTGGTTGCATCTGTTAGGATCATAACTATGAGCAAATCGTGAATTACCTAACAAAACATGAAAATGTGAAAGGACCCCCCCAAAAAAACCAGCAATCCATTTTCATAGCAAAATAACCAGTAATCGTTTTTATCTGCAGTTGAAGGCACAAAATTTTGTTAAAAAAAAAAAAAAAAAAAAAAAAAATTTAGATTTCAGCATTAAATAACCTATAGAGGTTGATATGCCACTAAACAAAATGACCATTTTTTTTCCTTTTTTTGCTGGAAGGAAGAGAAACTCCATGTTGTTTCATCAAATACATTGTAGGGGGTAAAAAAAAATTATATATATATATATATATATATATATATATATACACACATACACACAACTTCTTATACAGTGTTGCCAGGGCAGGAAGAAGAGGCACACAGTGCACAATAGTAAATTGTGCAGTCTTGGTCTTTGATGTGCTCACAAAGAGTAATATGAATTGTTTTGTGAAATCCTCTGTAAATTCCTTTTATTTTTTGCATTTATATTTTGAATTTGTTTTTATCATTTTTTATTAAGAATATTTCATGTCTGTCTACTTAAAGAAAAAGAAAAGTAGTTTTAATAAAAGTTATTCTCCAATAAGTAGTCAAAGTTATTTCAATTACTGATTTTAAAGAGGAAAAAAAAATCATCATTAGTCCAAAGACCTGATGTTTTCATAGAGCCACTGCACAATTGAGCACAAGACCAACTCCTTAGTTCAGTCCCATGTGCTGACAGTCATAATTTACTGAAGTTACTGTCTGCTGTTTGAATTCCCCATTAATGAGAGCCTTGGAATCACTACACAGAGTTGCCTGCATAGTTAATCGTTACAGGTTCATAGCAAGATAATATGACTTTTTATTTATTGTGGCAAAACCAAATTTCATCTTTACTGGATGTGTGTTTCAAAATGTAGCCTTTTGCCAAATAAACTTTGTAATTATTTACATTGATTCAGTTATATGTCTGAATATGTCAATAAGCTCATCTGTGCTTGTTATAAACATTAAGAAAACTAAGATTTTCTTAACAATTTTAGCCATATCAAATATAAAATGTTTTTCAGAAGTTTGTAAAATTGCCTGTCAAATAAAAAGCTCTGAAATCAACAAACTACATAGGATAGCTGCTGAAAAGGCATGAGGCCAAATTCTGATATGAAGTTTAAATTAATGTTTTTCTTCTATGTCGAAGGTCCAACACTTGTTTTCAAACAAAAAAGGCTTCAGGAGATAAGTTTTTAGACCTTGCTGGACAAAACTAAAAATGTCTTAAATTTTTGACCTCCAGATTGAATTCTTTTTTATGAAGAAAATTCATACATCCTATCTGCTTAAAATTGAGTGTAAATACCATCCCACCAAAGCGGTTTTGTTGTAATCTAAAATAAATTACCAAATATAAAAAAATTTAGTAACAGTAGTAATGATAGCAGCAAGAATATTTGTCTGTACACCCATTTGAACAAAATAGGGTACAAGCCTGTACATGGGACTGGGGGGAACAAAAATTGCTTGGTTCCTTTGACACTTCCCTTCCGAGATACCTTAGGCCCCTTTAGTGGGAGTGGGGCTACCAGGGAGGACAACATCCTGGAAGTGAGTGGTAAGGAGCAACCAATTTCTAATGGGTTAGTCAGCAGCAAAAAGTGGCTAAAAAATGTTTTCTTGTGCTGCACATCTAGCCATTAAGCATATTTAAAAAATAAAATAAAATAAAAAAATAAAAAGAAGAAAGAAACAGGGACCTAAAAGCTAGCTTTTTTAATATAAAATCAGATTCACTGATTTTTTTAGAAACACTTCAAAAGGCAAATTTTGCCTTGTTAAATCAATTATAAAACTTTTAGAATGAAAAAAGATGGGGGCAAACTATCTAGTTAAACTTATAAAAGTAAAAATCTCTGAACAAGAACACAAGATTTTCCAAATATGTTAAAAAACATGGATTTTTTTTTTCAATGAAATTGTCAGGCCTATATACAATTCAATAAATTGAAATACCTTCAATAAATTAAAATTAATTTTTTTTATTATTCCACTCCTTCCAAATAATATTTCCATTCTACTTTCAAATACAAAAAATTCTCAGAAAATGCCAAGTGATATAATATTATGTAAAGAGAAAATTTGACCTATTCCCAATGCTAAATTAGTTATAATTTTCCAAGTTCTTCACCATCCTGCACTGCACATTTATGTTTCTTTTCATAGCAAACAGGTCAGCAAATCTTACTATCAACTACAAAAGTTTTAAATTGGAAAAAAAAAAAAAAATTAGTTTCCCCTCACTCCCTCACCATTCTCATACAATTTTTGCACCCTTGTATACCAATTACAAATGCTGGCATAATTATTTCCTTCAATTTTCCTCCCATGGTGTTTATTTGTTATGATATGCTTATTATTTTTCAAATAACTTTCTCTACAACACAATATATATATATATTATATATATATATATATATATATATATAAAAATGCTGGTGGAATGTTTATTTTAGAACTGGCACACTTGATCTGGAAGTTAAAAAAAAAAAAAAAAAAAAACACTTTCCACTGGTTTGACAATTCCAGACAGCACTTGTGTTTTGTAATAAAGAGCAATTGTTGATTCCTCAGTGAATAAAAATTCTGTGAATTCTTCAGGAATTAATTATGACAGCAAAACCAGTATGAGAAAAAGAGAAAAGAAACTAAAACGTTACTATTAAGTTGTTCAAGTAATAATTTTTTTTTTCTAGCTGGTGATCGATTGTAGTTACAACTCCTCATGAGAAATTAAACACAATTCATTAATGTTAAAATTCAATAATCAAATATTCAAATGACAAAGAGTAAGGAAACAACTGAAGCCTTACACATCAGCTGTTGCAAAGAATCTGACAGGTTACTTTTTAATGTTCAGTTCCAGCCAAATAACAAAGAGCATACTTGTTCAATTCTTTACAAACACAGAAATTTTAGAGATAAAAAGCACAAGTTCTTCAAATATAGTGTGCTGAGTATTCAAGGCTGCAAGTGGGCCACAAACTAAATTATAACCAGACATTCAAGCCAGCAACAAGAGGGAGCAACAAGCCAGGTGTATCAGTGAGAGAGCGCCGCTTCTGGTGTAGCATTCACTCCATACGCATCCCTCATTGTATTTGCCATGCCCTCTCTTGAATTTCATATAAATTATTAAATAAAGCCACATTGATAAGAGGATAAACAAGAGCGGCAAAGTGAAAAAAAAAAAAAAAAAAAAAAAAAGACCAAAATTACAATTGAGGTGATGAAAGAAATCATAGCCAAATATGAAAATGGAATACGTGTCTCTAATTTTGGTTTTTGTGTATGAACTTGTGTACAAAGTTTAAATAAGCAATCATCTGGAGTCCAGGAACAGATTAATCCATTTTACATGGGGTCCCAATCGGGGGAAAATAGTTCCACATTGTGAGTGGCCTTTAGGAATGAATTACATTTGTGAACCAAGGTTCCAGTGTAGTTGACAAGTTAGCACTATTAACTTACCAGTTGCCAAAGCCGTACTGCTCAACTGCATCCAGTAACATTGTCTCCTCAACTAAAGACCAAGGTTTGGGGATGTCAAATGGACCAAGCATATCACTCTGAAAAATTAATTCATTCTTTAAGAATAACATCACAAACATGTTTTGGAAACTTGAAAATGTTTACACATATTTTGATAGACAACAAAAATTAAAACTAAATGTTTGAGAAAAAGTTTCAGCAACAAGTGTTTTGCTAGAAAATTAAATAAAACTCATGATTATCTTGTTTCTTAATGAGTGTAGGAGACTTCAGTTCTTTGTGAATGCCCCAACTTTCTTTTTGTGGGTTTGCTGATCCTCACAATTGAGCAATCTCCCATCCCACCACCACTTAGGTATGATTTTTCCAACTAAAGTCCTCCTACCTTGATTCTTGGATAAACAACATAGTTTCATTTCAGGTTTTATAGCAGTAATTTCTTTTCAAGTTCTCTTTGTCTGTGCTGGAGGTAAATGATTCTCTGAGCAGGTATTATCCACCTGATAGGGATATGAAGCTTAGAGTAACTCCACCAAAGGGGGCTATCTTATCAGTATATTGGGGTTATTGCATTGATATTTTGAGAATGGGATCTGAACTGTGCGGTAGTTTCTGGTCGGGCCCCTCAATGCTATTCTGGCAATCAATCCAGGTAGGTTTTTTTTGTTTTTTTTACATACCAGTTTGGGTGTTGCTGTCTCACTACCTCACCAAAATATGAGCAAAGATAATCCAACACATCCTCATAATTTGCAATTCTTACTTCCCACTCCCTTACAACAACCTCATTCAGTAACACTTTATCTTGAGTTGTTCGTGGGTCTTGTAGTGGCAAAACAATAGGCAATTTTTTTTTTTTTTTTTTTTTTTAAAATAAAATCAGAGAGCAATCATTTTCTAGACATTTTTTTAATAAGCAAAAAGTGTTGTACATGAGAGGTTTGGGTAGAACATGAAAAGGAATCCTTAATGTGCTTCTAAAAAGAAAAAAAACTTTTTTTTCTTTTTCTTATCCAAATCAATGTCTCTGGATAATAAAGTCAGCTGGACATAATTAGTCAGTCTATAGTAAAGTTGGAATTTAAACAATTTTAATATTGTACACAATGCAATTTGAGCTTTTAGTATTTAACAGCAGTCAGGTTGCTTTGATGTTTGTGTACAGCCCAAGGAATTATTTTGGGTAAAATCTTCAACAATTTAGTCCAGAAATGTATCAAAACATTAGCCTTTTTCTATGAAACATTTGAAGGTTCTAGTAAAAATCAAATGTTTATATTAAATTTACTTGATATTAAACATGAAGAGTAAGATAAAAACAAAAGTAGTTGCATCTAATCACAATTTTAAAATGAAAAACAAAAACATTCATTTATAAAGAATGAGAAATTTTAGTTAACAGATTTATCAACATGTTCTAACAGCCATTTGAATGTCATTAACACTTTCACTGCTGCATTGTTATTGCATTTTAGCCTGACTGTTTTTAAAAAAATAGAAAATTGCTATTTACTAGACATAAATAACTATGAAGATGTTGACGGCAATTTTTCTTATAGGCTCTGCTGTTTTGGTTTTGATCGGACACTCTGGAGCACAAACTAAGCTAAATGATATGCTCAACACAGAATATAATAAAAATACATAATGAAACAGGTTCTGTGCTACTCTATGTCTATGGTGGTTTGAAAATAGCACTAAGCACTACTTAACTTCTAATAGAAATGATAAGGACCAACATTTCATAGTGTCTTCAAAAGGTATATATATATTATATCAACAGCAGGCAATGAAAATTTTGTAGATGCACAATTAGTTCCTCAGCAACAGCAGTGTTAAAAAATTAATTCAGAGGCACGATATGTTCAAGGGATCCTTCTAGGTTGGAGTATTGGATACAAGGGAGGGTGATCATTGTGTAATATCTGTTCACCTTTCTGTTGTGCTTCTGACTTTGGGAGGTTCATAAAAAGCTTTGAGTGATGCCTGGTCACAGAAATTCCATCCTTATGGTAGTACCTGTCTCATTGTGCTAAAGAGGGAAAGTTGTTGAATAGTGACACTAGCATGAGAATGGTCATGTGAACCAGGCATCTTTTAGATTGATGAATGCTAGACCTTGTGTTACACCTGTCACCATGGGGAGGTGAGTAAATAAATAACCACAATGGGCTTGCAGAAAATTGAATTTACAGTTGAGCCAAATGAGCCCTTTCAGCTATGGGTAACACACATCTCTATTAAGTAAAGGCAAAATTACTTTAAAAAGTTAAAATAAAATGCTTGAGAGAAAGCAAGTAACAAAATTATTAGTTTTAGAAGCTAGAATAGGGTTACCTAAAACTTTTGCCAAGAAAATATACAGTAATGGCAGGGTCAAGAGAAAAAAAATCCTTTTGACACTATTTTTTTTGCAGTACATATGTTAAACTTTGCCAATGAGTCTTAAAATGTGCATTTGGCCAAAGGTGTACACTATTTACTACTGAAAGTTTTCTGGTTGATAAATTCAAAAGCATTAAAATCAAGAGAAACCAGAAACTGTTATATAGGATTCAAATAACAGTAGATTTTAGGTTTCATTCTTATTACTTTTTATAAAATAAATTTCTCCATATTTTCCTTTCTTATAAGCAAAGAATAAGCTCAAGGGAGATAACTGCAAATGATTTGTACTTCCCGTTTACTGTTTTATTAATAAAATTCCAGATTCTTTTTTCAGTCTTCAATTTAATTATCAATATAAATACAGAACCATAAAAAGATTTTTCAAACTTGTAAATATGTTACTTGCATATGAGTTTTAAATTGATGATGTCTGTCCATGTCGGTATGTTTAGATCTTTTTTTTTTTTTTTATAGAAAGCAATGTGAATCTACCAATTTTTACTATAGATTTGTCTTGTCTTTAAACCAAACCTAATGAATTTAACTTTTACATTTTTTTTTTATTATTATTAAAGAACTTACTAAGAAACCCTTTGAAAGAAAAAGTACTTTGGCACAGAATATTATGAATTGATTTTTCAGTCTGAATGATAATATGAAGTGTTCTTTCAATGAAATTCCCAAAAAATTAAAATATACAAAGTATTCTTGTTAAGTGTAATTTGTAATCAACAAATTATAAACAGTGAAGATATTTTAGAAGGTAAATTTGAAGAAGTGAATTTATTTCTGAAGAGAAAATCTAGTTTTCCAGTGACAAAAAAAAAAAAAAAAAAAAAAAAAGATATACTTATTGCCTCAACAATTTGCAAAGAATTGCACTAATTCATACTATCATCTGTCCGGTTAGCAGATAAAATTTGTCAGGAAATACTTGTTTACATTTATTTGTACATGAGAAAGAGAAAAAGAAGAGATAAACTCAATGAAAATTTAAGTTTCAGTGCTTGGAACCATTCATTGAGAAAAATGCTCAGTTTATTTACTAAACAGTATATTTATTTTCATCTACTGGCATGAATATTCGAGAAATCTTATTAGAAAAATGTGTTCTCTGGCAAGATTCAAACCTGTGTTCCCCTAGGGGAAACTGCCATTAGGTCTGGCATATTTTGATCGCTTGGCTAAAGAGAAGCATGCCAGTTCTAACAACAGTTTCCCCTAGGGGAATGCAGGCTTGAATCCTGCTGGAGAATCTTGAATATTCAGACTGGTAGATGAAAGAAAAAAAAAAAAAAAAAAAAATAATATATATATATATATATAAAAGACCAACAGAAAACTTAACTTTGTGAACATGTTTCACCCCCTAAAGTCAGAACAATATACCATGAAAATATTTAGAAAAATCACAGAGAAACTGTGTTATGGTGGTGGGAAAGTGACTTAAGCAGAGATGCCAGATCAGGACCATTGCATATTCTTCTTTATATTTTATCAAGAAAAATGTCTAAATACCTAGCAGAAGCGCCAGACCTCAATGTGACAGCAAGAGCAAAACTCTACCAACTAGAATGCAAACAATGCCAACCAATAATATATCCAAGAAACATACGGAATTTAAAGGAAGAATTTTTAAATTTAAGAATTCTCAAATATTCATCAAACTAACAAAAAAGTCTAGGTAAATTATGGAGGATGCCACGTGACAATTTAATGTCTAATAAACAGAAGTGATCCTTTTTTTTTTTTTTTTAAAAATAATTTAATTAATATTTAAATTATTTTACTTTGGGATTAATTTATGTGTTATATGTATTCTAAATAGCATGAGGTTATGAATTTAACCATTTTCTTTTAATGTTTTAACATTTTTATAATCATGTGTGTTGATTTGGGTAAGGATTAATTCTTTTAGAAATGGAGATATCTGAAAAATCCAAAGCATAGATTTACATTTTGATGAGATTCAATTGTGGCACTCTCAAGAATTTTCCATCTAAGAAAGTTACTTAACTCTTTTAATGTGTGTGGTATTCTTTAGAACAAGGTTGTGGTTGTATTTATTTCTATGTATGACTAAATTTGTTGTGTATAAGATCCTTTTTCTGTGCTTTTTTTTCTTCTTATAATTCCTTCAAGTGTCACCCAATGTATTGCAAGGAACAGTTGTGACTATTTTATATATACCTGCTTCAGAATTATTATTATGAATATTTTGGGATGTAGTTGGAATTATTTTGAAATTGTTAATAATTCCAACCAAACACACACTTGAGGCCAAATGCTTCGGGTCATCGTCTGAATTCTGAAGAATAACCTAAAAATTGAATTTACTAAAATCATTTCAGGTCAGAGGGACTTTCTCTTCCTGAAGAGTTGTATATATTCAATAATAATAATGAAATTAATTCATTACTGCATAAAATTTCCTTAAAATTTTACCCCTTTTTTTCCTAATCTACCTTAAAGACTAATGGTAATCATAAAGCTGGCAGGTTTTAAATTTTAAGTAAGCCCCATCTTTCAAAAATTGGATTACATGCAGAGAGTTTCAGCATTGCAGCTTAATTGAAGTTAATTAAATCAAAAATCAATGAAGGCATGAAACTTACTAATTATTAAATCCAAAGGGTAACCCAACAATGTGTGTGCATGTGTGTGTGTATATATATATATATATATATATATATATATATATATATATACACACACACAAAGATTCGGTATTTTTTTATTTTTTTTTTTTTAAATGTGGTTTGGAGTTGATTTTCATATTCAAGTTTTCCATTCATAGAATTCTGTAACAAATATAACAGTATTTTGGGTATCATTTGCCATTTTGGTTTTGCCTTACATGTTCTTAAATTTCTGCTCATGGTTGATTTTATCTACACTTTATAAAGTAGGCGGTACAATTTTGAAAATTTCAATTTTTATTTACCTTTGATTAGTTTCCTTTAAAAACACTTCATGCTATTTTTAAAAGGTTTAAAACAGGCTGCTACAAAGAGACATTTAAAAACCCAACAAGTCATTTTTAATTCATTAATGCCCACTATATAACCCTGGTTGAATTAATCTTTTTAAAAGATCAAAATAATTCACGAAGAAACAGAGAAAAAAAGCTCCAAAAAAACAAGATAGATATTATTTCAGATTTAGTTCTACTAAGAATTTATTTATTTAGTTGTAAGGCATACAAATTCTTATGTTGATCCTGATGCAATGACAAAACTCAAGAATCAAGGTGAAACAAAGTTGTTTTATGTCAGGGTATATCAATTGAATGGGCAGGTCGCATAAGGTATATTAGAGCAGAACCACATTCAAATTCCCTGCGAATTGGTTGTGCTAACTTTCGTACTTATACACTTGGAAAAAGAGGCATGAATCCAATTCCACCAGTACCAAAGCTATGGGTTAAATAACAAGGTAGACTTGGGTTGCAACCTAACAGAAAGAAAACTAAATTTAAAAACATGGAGAAGGAAATGGGAAAAAACACTCCACTATCTTTTCCAAGAATGCATGCTAATTTATAGATAATAAAGTAAAGGAATCTGTGGAGAGCCATAATCGCTTATGTTCTGAAGGAACAGGCCTTTTTCCTTTTAATTTCCACAAGTGCGCACAGAAAATAAAAATAAAAATATAATTACAAAATTATATTTCAGGATTGTGAAATTAAGTTTATTTTTTTGAGAAAAATCAATTTTCAAATATTAAGGGGAGATAACCGGGTCACTAAGTTTTGCAAGTATTAAAGGAAATGTATTTGTCTTGAATATTTCAGTCTACTTTCCCGCCTTCATAATGGTGAATGGGAAAGCGAGATAAGAAAGCCAGATGTACGGCATCTGAAGAAGAAAGTACTCAACGGAAGTCCGGAGGTAAGGGAGATTATAGAGGTTGATTTTTTTTTTTTTTTTTTGGGGATCGAAGAAAAAAAGACGATGAAAGTTTGGGGGGGTCGGAAAAAAAAAATAAGAGTTGGAAAGAACACATGGGTCTTTTTCAACGTGGTGAGGCGATCCGTCGTCATCGTTACTACTCGCCGTTCTAACATAACGTTCACAATGAAGAAAGTGTGAGAATTGATGGGAACAAGGTTTTTTTTCTTTTTCTGGTGTATTAATAAATCAAATAGATTCTGAGTAGTAAAAATAAAATCAATAAGCAACAAATCTTTTTAGCAACTACTGCTCTTCCTTCTCTATTAGTCCGTGTCAGTGCGTTATGATACTGGAAAGAGAGTATATAGCAGATAGCTAGATTTTTTTGTTATACTCCGCCTCACGAAAATGTCTTATTCCTTAAAAAAAAAAAAGAAGTTCAAATCCAAGTTTTTTTCACTTTTTTTTTTTTTTTAAATAAAGTTAATTCGTGCACTTTCAAAGAGAGAAGCAAGTAAGAGCGTACGCTTGAAAAGTATTTTTTTTATTATTTATTTTATTTAGATATTGATTAAAGAAGAGAGTTAAGAAGGGCGGTTTATATAAATATCGGGTAATGGAAGAAGAGCTACATTGGCACACACAGACACAGTGTATTCAAGCTGGAATAGGTGGAGGTATTATTGAATGTGAGGAGGGTAGATAGAGAGGAAAAGAAGGTGGAATGATAAAGAGAAGAGATGGCAGGCCAGTCACCCACACACTTCAATCAACGAACGGACACATGCCAGTCACACTAGAGTAGGTGGAATAAGCAACATTACATACGAAGAGGTGGTGGTGGTTGTTGTTGCGAGTTGCAATATAGAAATTAATAATAATAAAAACACAATGGAAGAGAAGGGAAAGAAAAGGAAAAGAAAAATACACGGAGTGGCGGAATAAGATGCGAAGTACTGGTCACGTTTTGTTTGATACCAGGAAGGAATGGGGAAAAAAAAAGATGGAGAGGAAGAGGAAGACAAGCGCTGCACATAAAGAAAAACAGTTAAAAATATGCTTAAAAACCGGTGGTATTTTTTAAGCTCCTTGAGGTAAAAGACAACAGATATACTAGGTGTTTAGTGTGTATGTGTATATACACACAAACACACACTAGGTGTTTAGTGTGTGTGTGTATATATATATATATATATATACACACAACGTGCGTGCTAGCACACAACTGTGGTTGCTGCTATTTTTCCCTACTAACTACACACGGACAAAATGTATAAAGAAAGCCAAGGAAGAGGGTATTTACAGGGAAAAGAAAGAGGCAGTCATTTTCATATCGTTACAAGTGAAATAAAGGAAAATAAGAGAGAGAGATAGAGAATAGTAAAAAATGAGGCCGTGTGTTAGTGGAGTAAAGTAGGGAGGAAAAAAAAACAGGCGGGGAGGGAAGAAAATGCGGCGGTGGCAGAGGCTGGAAATTGCTAGCAGCGAGGCTTGCTTTTTACTAAACGATCAAGCTAGTTGACTAGCAACTTTCAATGTCGACAACAAGAGGCAAATAGCTAGCTTAGCAAGAAAAGGACACAAACCAGACGAGGAAAAAAAATGCAAGGAAAAGCGGTAACGCCCTTTTTTAAAAGCAGACAAGAAAGTGGGGGGAATGTATATAAATAACCTTGGGTTATTCCCGATTTTACAAGTACACGAATACGTACTTGCAAGAAAAAAAGTGGGACTTGAAAAGCTTGTTTAAGATGGAGATGAAACTGGTTCCTAAACCAACAATGACCAACAGAGAATCCACCCCCCCCAAAAAAAGCATGGATAATACAACAGATCATAATAAGTGGAGGGAAGGGTATAATCGTAACTGGAGGAAGATGAATTCATTAATAAATGTTATTGCCGTGTAAAAGAAAACTGTTGAGGCAAATTGTTTGGTGTAGAGAAGCTTGTTGACATCTTTGCACATGACCAACACAGAATCTACCAATCAGAAAAGAGCTGACTTCTTTCTTTTAGGCCAGCTAACTACAACCGTAAACAAAAGTAAGATTTATGCCAAGCCAAAAATAACATTTTACGAAAAGGTATCCACAAATTGGCTCACCAATAAAGAATGATGCACAGAATTTATAATCATAAAAGCACATTAAAGAAGAATATATATATATATATATATATATATATATATATATATATATATATATATAAAAAATCAAGCACATGCTGTCAGTACAGTAATTACTCAGGGTAGTCAGCTTGTGACCTTTATGTAGTAAATCTACAAAAAATAGATTTTTCATTTTATGCATAATAATCAGGAGTAACCTTCATAATTTTATTGCATTAGGTGCATATTGTGCCACAGAAGAAAAATGTAGCTGCTGATCTATTTTGTTCAGGGTAGGCACAACTTAGATGGCATGTCCCTGATTCTCAAATACTTTATAATAATCAAATTTCATGATCATGCCAACCAAATCCTATTTAAAAACAAAAGGCATACCCCCCCCAACCAAATATCTAAGTTATATATGTTTGATGGGACATAAGGGATAAAAAAAGAAAAATCTGATCAGATTTTAGAAAGTGAGTGTGGGGACAAGAAGCTTTCAGTACCCTCTGCCCCTATTGTTATAAACAAGGCAAAAATGGTTTACAAGTTGAATGTGAGGTTCATTTCAAGATTGTTCAACAAGTATGAATCATATTGGGCAGCGTCACCTCTCATGATTCTTAATTTACAAACACAGAAATTTCAGCTCTCAGAATGTAAAGTCATTTCCTGTAGGAAAATGGAATTCTAAACAGTGCCAAGTGGTAAAAATACTTATTGAACAAGGAAAGAACAACCAACAATTACTTTGAACTAAAGTACTGACGTATAAATATCAAATGCAAAAACGAAAAAACAGACATTTTAAGGACGGTTTAAGTTTCTTTACTTTGTGTAATCAAATCTGATTGATGCATAAGCCATAATTCAAGAAGAAAGCCTACCATGTTCAAAGACTTCCGCAGTAATTTGGTAAAAGGCCAATTTCAAATAAATGCAAGAGAATATAAAAGTGTGCACAATCTTGACAGACAAAAGGATCTTATCTGTTGCAGTAGTCAAACTGAATATTCCTCAACATACCACTTGACTTTTAACTGATGCTGTGGATTATCAAGATCTCAAAAGAGTGTTACTTTGTTATTGATTAACAATATTCCAAACTGCTTACGTTTAAAACAAAATTTTATCTGACAGAAACTTCCCCACTTCTTTCCAGAAAGTCCCAAAATTTTGTCAGTTAGTTAAAATGCCATCTTAAATCAACTTTCTTGAACAAAAACTGAATTTTCTTCTGATGTTTACAATTGATAATCACTGAAACGAAAACAGAGAATGCAAATATAGACAGGTTCTGAAGAGTGGAGCAGATCCTGAAGGGCATTATTAATGTCAAAGAGTAAAAATTGCACTTACCATAATCCGATATTTGTGATCTTTTTTATGTGGTCCAACTTCAGCACCAAGAGAAAAACACTGTAGTTGTGTCAATCCAAAGTAGTGAGAATGAAGGTTGTTTCCAAAAAGAAAGAAAATACAAATTAATATATTGAGAACAAAATAAATGCACAAATTGCATAGCTCAAACCTTAAATTATATAATTTTGTCAACAATTCCTTAAAGAACAATAGTAGTTGTTTTAGGGGGATTTGAAACCAGTAGAATGTTGTAGAAAATACAAAATAGTTTCTGATAATATAGAATATCAATACACAAGATTTTATTTGAATACATATAGTTTCTGCAAGGGAGGCAATAAACCTTTCACACAAAATTTTACTCCTAAATTAAACCTATTTTTTAAAAATAGGTATTAACCTTAGTTTAACATGGATCCAAACAAATGAAGAAAGATAATGTTGAGCCAATCTTCTATGGTGTGTGTGTGTGTGTATGGAGGGGAGTATCTATTTTGAAATATTTTTGCCAGAATTTGAACACTGACTTTTTAATGGGCAAAACAGTTTTCTTTAACCAAAAGTAAAATCTCCACATATATATATATATATATATATATATATATATATATATGTGTGTGTGTGTGTGTGTGTGTGGATTTTCACTTTTGCAAATAAATAAGATAGGTTTTTTTATATCTATTTTCAGAAGGTTGTTGAATAAAACTCCCAAGCTCAAAATTCAGATTTTATACAACAAAATAGATGACAGCAATGACAAAACCACATGGTGGTCAAGAAAATTGTGTATTTTCTCCAGTGGTTGGTGTTTTTTTGAATGTAGGACAAAACCCCGGAGTTTGAATGCGAGCAAACCTTCCTTACTTGGGTGTTTGGCGTTAGACAGTCTTCCTGCTCTTATCTGGTTTTACTTTTCTAACAGACTAAGCTTAGCAAATTTACAAGCAAATCGTCTTTATAGTCACGCACTGTATTCAGCCTCTCAAAACCTGGAAGGTTCCCCACCACTTTTAAATCAAAATTATTTGGGAGAGGAGAAAATTTTTTATTCACCCTTAAAACGTGCAAGAAGAGGGATAAAAACGAATCTAGATAAGTTAAATTAAATAAATACAATAGACACAGCGAAAGGCTGCCTAGCCAGTATATAAGCTCTAGCATTGTCTAGAGACCAAGAGAGGCGGGGAAAGAGATATAGGTATTTTTAAAAAGCACTAAATATAAATGCTTCCATATTTCTGTCTTTAAATACTAGGAGGAATGAGTGAAGCCAGAAATGGAGGAAAGAGAAATAAAACTAGTTAAATGTGAGAGAAAGGCGCATTAGGATCATAACCCAGCCATTACATACTTTTAGTTTGATTATCACAGATGGACAGCAGAGAAAATAATTCAGTAGAGAGAATAAAATAGACTAGGGTAAAGCAAAGCTGAACAAGAAGACATTATTTATGCTCCTTACACTTTCTTCCCAATTGAAAAAAAAAAAATGGAGTTGAAATGAGAAAGAGAGAAGACTTCATTCTTTTTCTCTTTCCCTCCATTTTTGTTTATTATTATTTATTAATATTATTTTTATTATTAAAAGCCATTTGCTTCGGTAGACAGGCAGGCGCTTTCTTCTTTCTAGATTAGAAAAATATAAAAAAAAAAAATATATATATATATATATATATATATATATATATATATATATATATATATATAGAAAGGAAAAATGCAATGGAAGAATGATTTTTTTTTCTAATGGAGGGAATACATGTGTGTCTTTGTGGTCAGTTTGTTTTTGTTCAAATGTTAAGAATATTTGTATAATTTTAAAATAAAATAAAAGGAGAAAAAAAATCGACATTTTTTTTCTTTATTTTAAATAAAAGAAAAAATAGAAGCGTCTTTTGTGTAACGTCGAAATAAATAAAAAAAAAGGGATAAAAATTTAAAAATAGTTTTAAAAATAAATAAATTACAAGTGACTTTTTAATTTTAAAACAAAAAGTTTAAACTGCAAACTCAAAGTAACAGTTTATTAAAAAAAACACTACTTTTTATTTTATATGCAAACAACCAAATGAATATTCTCTCTATAGACAAGTTTCTAGTTTTATATTTTTTAAATTATTTTGCTAAACATTGCTTAATGCATAAACATTAAAAAAGAAAGAAAACTAAACTCTTATTTAAATATATTTTTATAGATTTTATATAGTAAAGTACCAAGGTAATATTTTTATATAATACCTAAGGATAAATAAAATTAACAGAAGTTTATTCTAAAAATAAAATAAAAACAAATACAGGTGGGTATTTTTTAGTGCGGGGGCGAATAAAAATATTTACATCTTTAGTTAGATTTAAAATAAACTAGAAATATACAGAATAAAAATGGTTAAAAATCAACAAATCCATTTTTTTTAAGAGCAGGGTTTTAAAAAAGATGAGAGAGAGAAAGAAGCATAAAAAATCAAGAGAAACAACGAAGTTTTAGTCACTGGCCAGTTGTAAATAGAAGCACTAGTAGTTGGTAAAATAAACGAAGTTTTTGGTTATTTAAAGTAGGCAATATGACTAGATTTTATTGCGAATCCTACTGAGAAGAAGATCGGTCGAGTGGAGCCATATTTGACAAAAGCTAAACGTAAAAAGAATGAGTCGATCATAATTCAGAGGAAAGCAAAGAAAATGGAGAGAGAGAAAAAAAAATGTAATTTAGACTTATTTCATAAAAAAATGCATATGTAAATAATAAAGATCTCGGTTAAGCAATTCCTATAAAGCAATTTTACTTTATATGCATAAATTTTCTATTAAAAAAAGACGAGGGTCTAAGCTTTTTATAAAAAAAATATACAAGAGAAAAAAAAATCTAAAAATAAATCCTCCAAAAAGCACAAAATAAAACAGGAATTAAGAAAAATGTTAAGATTTTCTTTTAATTATTTTACTTTTAAATAAGTAAATAATTACATTTTTTGTTCTAAATTTATAGTTAATTAAATCAGATTTCTTTATTGTTGATGATTCATTAAGTGAAGTCTTACCACTTCTAACTTTATTTAAAAAAGGGGGGGGCAATTAATATCTAAAAGTAATTAATTAGGTTATTTTTCTAATTGTATATTAACACTTAAAGTAATTTAATTAGAGATAAAAAGGTGGGAAAATTTCCAGGTCTAGGTACTTAGCCATGATATCTTTGTTGAAGTGATAACAATAACATGTGTTCACTAGAAAAACATGTCCAAGAATTAAAAATTCCTGCAATAAAAGATGCAGGTTAAAACAACTTAAAAGAAACATCCCTTTTTTTATGAAGTTTTCCTAATAATATCATTAATAATAATGGTTAGCAACTTAATTGTACAGATCATTGTGAGCCTGATCTCTACAAGTTACCCCTATACTTGTGGCCTTGTGCCAAACGAAGTAAATAAATACATTGAATCGTAGTATTTTAATGTTGATAAATCTAATAGCACGTATTTTCGCGTTCAAGCCTCACTAGCTGCTCCATAGCCTTGTACCAAACAAAGCTCAGATTAGTAAATAAATAAGAACGGCTCACCATGGAGTAATGGTTAGCACTCTAGTATAGCAGAGCATTGCTGTAGCGATTTCGATCATAACTTGAGTCTCTTAAACTTGCGGCCTTATGCCAGACACCAATAAGGATCGGCTCAGTGAGTAGCAAGGAAGTCGAGAGTTCGATCCTTACTGGATTCTCTCACAGTTGTAGCCGTGTGTCAGACTAAGCTGAATTTAAATACAAGATAGAGAGATGGATGCAAAGAACGAATAATGGAGAACGGTTGATGTCAACAGTGAGGTGGGGGGAAGTAAGAATGGAGGTAGGGAGTATGATGATGATGATAGTAATAATAAAGAAGACTTGCCTCCAAACACAGGTCGATGTCGACACACTGGTCGCATTTTATGGCGAAGCCGACGATGTCACACTGACAACAACAGCAGGGCCGGCTCCTCGCCATGACACCAGCACGCTTACATAGAGCGGCGGAACGGCCCTGCTCCTTGTGACCAGGATGGCAGCCTGGAGACGACGACGATGATGATGATGATGATGACGATGAAGAAGAAGAAGAGGGATCAGCAGCACGGCCGAAGCAGAGACGACGACAACGACGACCAGGGGATGGAGATGCCGGAGAAGAAGCAGAAGGAGGAAGAAACGAGGATGAAACTGGAGGGACGGTACTGCTAGTCGGGGTACGACGACGGTTCGGACTAGCCAAAGTGGGAGTTGTCGTCGTCGCAATCGGTATATTGTTACTTTTTTGGTGGAAAGAGGCGAGCAGACAGCAGTAACGATAATGGCAGCAGTTGGCAGTGGCCGTCGTGTGGGTTTCGGCTCGGTCGTCGTCGTCGTCGTCGTTTCGAGGAGGAGGGCAGCAATGGGACGACGATGAAGAACGGGTACTGGCAGCATAGCAACTCATTCGCATGCTTTCTTCGCCATCTTTTGTTTGGTTCGAACTGACGTCACTGACACCCATTCTGCACAGACAGGTTCAGTCCCGGGCTGACGATGATAAATCTGAGGCCCGGGCTATGATGTTAAAAACAACACTTTAAAATCCAGTGCGCTAAAATTTATGTATGTATTTTTTAAGGTATTAAAAAATCCGCCTTATTCGATTTAGCACTTTATTCGCCCTCCCATATAATTCGGAATACAACATACATCTACATTTCCTTCCAAGTACTCAGAGCCACATGTAAATAATACATTGTTTTGTTTTGATTCTGAGACTTGTGTTGTTGTTGTACATAAAACGTTATTGTTAATTTACCAACCAAGGCAAATAGTACGTCTGTCTAAAAAAGACGAGTATATTCATAAGCATACAAGCATCTAAATATAGTTTCAGCTGCTAATTGTGTAGGGTTGTGGTTGCATGTCGTGCTCTCCGCCACCATTGACTTGATCAATATCTCGATTTGGCAATCACATGGAGGATTCCTGTCCCTGTAGCGCTTTATAGCGGCTAAAAAGGCAGATTCACTTTTCAAAACGTCGGCAATAGTCGATAGCCATTTCAAATAGTGTATTTCCCAATAAAGTCGTTAACGATTTTCTTAAGGTATTGTCTTATCCCCCGAGCGCCAATTCAGGGGACTTATTCCGAGGTTTTAGTTCCTGCTAAATAAAATAAGAGGCGGTAAGCACAGTTTCCGGTTGTGGCTCCAACGAATAACTTCCGGTTTCAATTCTGTTAATAATGGCCACACAAGAAGTTTTTCAATTTCTCCCTTTCTCTGTTTAAGGACAAAACCAGAATATGTCCATTTTTTTTAATTCTCCTGACCTTTGCAAAGCAAGCGCTTGGATCTACACAACCTGAATGCATTTGTATAAAGTATAACACTACTTCATAAAATCTGGAGTAGATATTTTCCAGTAAAGAAAAGTAAACATTTTTGTGTGAAAATCAAAAAAAAAAAAGAAAAGAAAATGTTGCCTTTACAAATGGAATTATATATATATATTTTTAGTTAGTCTGCAGAATTCACAACTCTGCAAGTTATTATGCTGAATTCTTAAAAATCTGCAACGGTGTCTTTCCTTTCTTTTTTTTTTCTCTTGTATATTTAGTTTTTTTTTTTTTTTTTTGTCTTTAACAGCGTTTTTTGTTTAAATTGGAGGAAAGAGTCGCTATTAAAAACGATAATTTTTTTTTTGTTTTTTACTACTTTCCTCTTTCTTGGTAATCCACGTTATAATTTTAAAAATAAAACATTCTTTTTTTTGTACTTAGCGTGTTTTGGCTTCAAATCATGCTTTAAATATTCCACAATACTGTAGTGTAGAGTGTACTATTTTTGGTGAGGGTAAAATCCAGTATATTTTTTTTTCTCTCCTGACACGCTAACTGCTTTGCTCTTTCTTCTCACCGCTGTCAGCTACGTACAAAGAATGGAAATTTTTTTTCTCTTCTCATACGCTGAACTAAGCCAATGTCTCCTGATACTTTTAACGAATGATTCATATAGTAGTAAATTGACAAAGAGAGCGGTTTTAGCGTCGATAAAGGCAGGGTTCCCCTATTGCGCTGTGCCATCAAATGCTTTTTTATGTTTTAACGAAGGCGGGGTACCCTATTGTGTAATTGTGTTACACTTTTAGCATTCAGTGAGGCAGTGTACCCTTCCTCTGATCATCCTAGCACAGTGCAAGGCAGAGAACCCACTTCACTGCCTTTATGAATTTGCAAATAAGTTAAAAAAAAAGTTAACTAGCTGAAAAAGGGCATCCCCATAACACGCGCACTTGCCATGTCAATTTTAAATCCAAGGACCGACTACTATCAAAACACCTTCCTGTGTAGTGTATTCTATTTTTGTCCTCAGACACTTTTGTGCACCTCCAAAATAAAATACATAGTAAAAAAAAAAAAGTTTTAAAATACATAAAGTATTTTTTTGAGCATCCTGTGTGTTATAGTATTAGTGATGTTCATTTCGAATGTCATTGTTAAAACAACGAATGATTTGTTTGTTAGCGAGTGTTTTTAACTGAAAAACCGACTCTGAATATTTTTCAGGTTTTATTAGTGGGTCAGTAGCAGTTTGAAGAAAGATGTTTGAAGTTCCCATCAAGTTTACACCTCACGGTTGTGGCATATTCCAACGTTTTTCAATGGGTAAATTCCATGGATTTAAAATAGCGTAGTCAAGGCAGGGCATCGTCAACGAATCCCCATTGCTTGTCTCTTTTTAGGTTAGCTGAAAACCGCCGAGTGTTGCCTTGTTCAGGGCGAGGGGGGAACTGACGCTTTAACGAATACCTCTCTTTTTTCCTTTTTTTTTTCTTTCTCTTTTACCCCACTCCTCTTACCCCCACAGTCTAAACTTTCTCTTTTTCGTCTTTCCCCCACTCCCTAATTTCTCTTACCATGCGCTTTCTTTCTTGCTCCCTCTCCGTCTATTTCTATCACGCGCGTACGCGTATGAACAGACGCCTCTTGTACGTAAAAATAATTGGCGCGTACTGCTGAATAAACGACAGCATGTAGTAATATATCTCCGTGCGTAAAGAAAGAATTTTGCTTTGTCTATCAGGTTTTTTTTTTTTTTAAAAAAGTGCTGTTCGTTTAAGAATTATCTAAGTGTTGGCTTGAGGTGAATGAAAATATAAATTTTTCAGTAAAATGCAGTTTAAGTCTACTTTATATCGATGTAAACACACAACACAAAAATAAAATACAAACTTACTTTCTGTCCTCTGTCTTATGTACAATGTACTTTAACTTAGCTTTCTATTAATAACAACTACGTTTATTATTAACCTAATTAACCCATTAAAAAAAGAGCATAAAATAAGAACAAATACCTCGTAATTGTGGAAGTAATTAACTTCGACTAAAAAAGACAGTTTAATAAACTTTTTTAACGCTCTTTTCTTTCTGAATTTTTAAACTTCAAATTAAGCGTCATTTGAACAACGAATGTCTTTCTTTCAAAAATATATTTTCTTTATGAAAAAACTGTTTACTTCTAGTTATTTAACCAGAGCTACGATTTAACAAACAAAGCAAAATAAAAGCCGTATGTTTTCATTTTTTTTTTCTTGGGTAGGGAGACACCCTTGAAAGAAAGCGTTAGGCCTGAACCCGAAGAAAATGTTTACAGTAAGCACAATATAACTTCAAAAAGAAAGAATTGGCGCTTAATAAGTTGCTTTTTTTTGTTTGTTTCTGTTTTGGGAGAATGTGCGTGTATTTTAGACAGAGACGGAAAGGAGGTCTTTTTTAGCGTGATAAGTTATCTCTCTTTCTCAATACAGTACAAACTACAAACTCTAATCTCCCCATCTTTCTTTTTCTCTCTCTATAACTTGTCCAAAAACTAAAGTTTAACTTAGTTTAGCACAAGGCCGCCACAGAGGCGCACATAGTGATAATATGCAATGTCAATTGTTATCTTCTGTCTTCTTAATTCTTGTTCTTTTATTGTTCTCTCTCCTTAATATTGTTTTCTTTTTCCACGTTCAGTAACCGGTAACCCCCTCCTTGCGTCTTTGTGGCTTTATTGCCTTGCTTGAGGTGGAATGAATAACACATTAGGAGCGCTTAGCACATTGTTAAAATGAATTCTATATCTAAGCATAGTGTAGTCTGGTACAGGGCCATTAAAACAAGGGCAGAGCATATTGTTAAAGAAAGAAGTGATAATCTAACTCATCTGAGCGCCTTTAAGTTCATTTCGTTAATCATTACTGAAGTTATAAATTCCGGAAAGATTAATTTATAAAAATAAATAAATAAATAAACTAAAGTTAAACAAAAAGTCAGAAACCTTTTAAAAACTTTTTCTCTCTTTTTGTTTCCTCCGGTAAATCTCTATCTCCCTCCCCTCCTCTCTCTCTCTCTCAAACAAGACTGTTTTCGTAGGACTCCTTCTTCCCCACACTCCTCTTATTTTCCCATTTTATTAAAACATCACGCAATTATTGATATGCTTTCTTTTGAGACAAAACTTATTTTTCTCCTATACCTCGTCCCCCTTGTTCGTTTATACGCCATTTTTTAATAACTAATAATTAGGTCAAATGTTAGTCAGGTTTCAATTTTTATGGGAATACGGTCGAGATCTGGGCGAGCAGGAAGGGTTTGTGCGATAAAAAGGAGAGTGGGGGAAAAAAGAAAGGATAAGAACGAAACATCAACTTTAAGAGACGAAAGGCGGGAATATTTCAAAGTGGGCCTGCAAATCCCATTTGCCACCACTAAAAAGGTTTAAGGGGAAAAGCTGCAGGAAAGAAAGACACAGAAAAGTCACAAAGTTCAATTATTTTATTGAAATATTATTTTATTCACATATAAATTAAATGTGACTTTTTATCGCCAATATTTGTAACTTTTTTTCCTAGCCAAATTTATAACTTTTTACGACCACACTATAAAATGCACAAACTATTACTACTTTAATTAATATTAAAGAAACGCGATATCTAAGGTTTAAAATGAATTTTTAGAAATGAAAAATCTTTCTTAAAGGTTTTCTTTTAGTTTTAATTTCAAGCTAATAGTACATGAAATACTTCCAATAGGCAAAATACTTTGCTGTATTTCAAAACTGGCTTACTTTAAATTGAGTGGAAGGAGTTTTTTAATCGCTAAAAATCGCTGATTTTGGCGCCATTTTTAGACAAAAAAAATAACATGTACTTTTCTGAAACTTTATTTGATGAATATTAGCTGATTAAAAGTAAGTAATCTGATTTGAAACATTACTTTTAGTTTAAAATATCGCAGAAATGCATTTTTTTAAGACGGGGTTAGGTGTTTACTTAAGTGCTGATAGCCAGAAATTTATTTATTTTTTTTTTTTACGGGGAACATTGTTCTAAAAGTTAGTTGAGGAATATAACGTTAGGCCTTTTTTTATATAATACTTTCAAATTACCTAGTAATCTTGTAAATTTAGGAAAATATTCTCTGTAATCTAATATTTTATTGAATTTTATAGTATTTGGGCTTTAAATTTACTATAG